TATGCAATTTGGTAATCTTATTTATGTTAAAAAAAATCTTTAATTTGTGAAAATGAAAATGTTACAACCCGTTCTTGCGTAAATAAAATATTGATGATTTTATAATTAGATTAATTTTGTGTTATTTTTATATATAAAAAAAATATAAAAAGAATAGAATAAAAATATTGTATATTTGATTATAAAATGAACTGTAATTTATTTTATTTAAAAATAAAGGCATCCGCTTAAAACAATTGTAGTAGCCTAGTTGATGTTAAAAGAGTTTCTGATTTTTTTGTAAATACTAACTTAAGTTTGTATTATTAAGTTAGGCGTAATTTATTTTTTCAATAAAATAAAATTTGTAACGTGGTACACAACTATATGTTAAAGATTTTTTAAAAAAAAAATTGTGAAAATAAAAAAGGAACAACCTAATCTCGAGCAAAAATAAGTAACAAACTTCACTTAACAAACTTCACATTTAAATGCAACATTAATGATGCACATTTGTAAATAAAAAATAAAATAAAAACTTGCTATTAATATCATGCAATTAATGCTCAACCATATTTGACTTGTCATTTTTAAAAAATGGTAATTCTTTTTATATAGATATAGATATAGATATAGATGTGCATTTACTATTTTTTTATAAATTACATATTTAACACATGTATTAAATTAAATTGTAATATATTAAACCTTTTAACAATTGCAATGAAGTCCCTATAGATTATCAAATTCTCAAAAGTAAGCCCCACAAATCAAATTCCACACACAATCACTGTTCATCAATTCCACACACAATCACTGTTCATCCGGCCGCCTGCCGCCGCCTGGCCCTCGTCCGCACTCAACACCGCGACATCCCTGCTCCACCAAACACGCCGTCGTCGCCGCCTCCGAGATCTGCCGGAATAAGAATGCCAATCGTCTCCCTTGGTCGTCGTGTCCAAGGCTTCATCGCCGACTGCCTCACGTCCGTCCGTCGCCGCCTCGCCTCGCCTCGCCTCGCCTCGCCTCAGACAGCCGCCTAATCGACTCTTCTCCATCTGTCGCCGATCGATTCGTCTCCGGCCGCCGCCGCCGCTCGATTCGCCTCCGCCCGCTGCCGAGTCCGTCGTGTAGAGTCCGTCCGCCGCCGTGTCGTCTCGCCTCCGCCGCCGCCACGTCGCTTCGCTTCCGTCGCCGCCGCGCCGAGTTTCCTCCGTCTGGCCGAAGTTTGTGTGCAGTTCTGTGTGTGTGTGTGAGCAGGTGTCTTGTGTGCGTGTGTAATGTAAGTGTTACTGTGTCCGACAGAAATCAGGATTCAGGGAGAGCGAAATTAGGATGGTTTATGGTGGGTCCCATATTATGGGGTGGATTGATTTATAATGACTAAAATACCCTTAATAATTAGTCAAATATATGCCGTTGACTTATGTGTGTGTTAATTTACCATATTGTCATTAATGATTGACCATAGTTTGACTTAATCATGTCCATCAATATATTAGGATCAATAGTACACATCTATTCTTATTTCTTTCACTATTTGTCATTCTCATATGATCCCTTCTCTATATATATACAGGGTTGGTATCGGTTCGGTTACCGAACCGATAAACGTATACCGATACCATACCGATAACGTCGGTAACCTCGGAATGAAAAACCGATACCGAACCGATTAAAGTCGGTTATCGAAAACTCAGTTTGGTTTCGGTTCGGTATAAGTTTTATACCCAAAAGACCGAACCAATTTTGAGCACAAAAAAATGATAGTGTTTAATTTTGTCGTCATTTTTGTAATTTTTCACTTCTTACCAATTAAATACACATAAAAGACTCACAAATCCATTGAAGGATTAAAAAATTTAAGTTTAATATATAAAAGTTAGTTTAAATATAATTAGATTATGGTTTTTGTGATAAATGCAACTAATAAAAAAATATATTGCTAACATGCAAGAAATAAAATTTGTGATACAACTTCAACTAACTTATCTAGTAATGGTGGTACGAGAATAGACTACACTAACGGTAGCATCTTCTTTAGAAGGAGTGAGACTGGTAAACCAACAATGTTACGATTAGAATGTGAATGAGGCGATGAGTAGTGGTATTTTTCTCGTCATTTTGAGCTTTAGGTAGGGTTGAGCTTTTATTTCTATTTTTGAACACTGAACAACTAATCCTTGTTTTAGTATTTTAAAAAAATATTTGTTTTAATTTTTTTTACCCTTATCGGTTCGGTATCGATTTTACCGAACTTTTATGGGTTCAAATCGATACCGTACCGATAGTGATTCGGTAACCGATAGTCGGTTACCGTTACAACGGTTCGATACGACCGTTTATTTGTCGGTTTGGTTTGGTTTGGTTCGGTTTTCGACTTTTGGTTAATAAATGCCAGCCCTATGTATATATTTGGCTGGTTCACATAAAACTAGTGTGTATCCCGTGCGATGCACGAGTATATAAATTTGGAGAATATTATAATTAAATTTGGAGAATATTATAATTTTACATGATTAGGATATATGAAGTTCATTTCATATGAACATCACTCAATCATAAAATGTTCGTCACGAAAAAATTATATATTATTAAAAAATTTCTTTGTACACAACATTATCAGTTTAATTGGGTAAGTCGTTGCGAGAGCACGGGCTGCACAAATGCTGCGGAAACTGGGCCTCACTCAACTTGGCTCCCTTGATGGGCTTCTCTCTTAGGCTGCGAATGCTGATTGCTGTCGTCGAAAAAATTGCCCCCACACTTGGACAACTTTTCTTATTTCCAACTATAATATAAGATATATTTGATTACAAGTTTAACCTTTTTATTCCTATTTTATGTCGATAATTATTTTTTATATTCCCAACTATACTAATAAAGTATATTATTAGTTTGAATCATGTAACTTCCTTAATAGTGAGTTGAATAATTTATAGATAGAAACATAATTTTATGATTCCTTCTAATTTCTCTCCCGCCTCCCCTCTTATTTCATATTTCATATTTCACAATTTTCTCCAAATAGAAAAAAAAAAGTTACGTACAACAATTATTAAGTTGACCATCAAATAAAACAAAATAAGACTGTAAATAAACGAAATTTTTTCCTTCATAATTTCTACAATTTTTTGTTGAAAATAATAATTGTTATGTTTCAGAAACAACATTGGTTTGTTTGTTTTTTATTTATTTATGGATAGGCTATCTATCTTATTTTTTGTTCAAAGTTAGTTTATTTTTCATTTATGTCATCAGATATATCATGTTGGTCATCATTGGGCATAAACTCATACAATGTGATGATAAATATGCATTTAGATTTAACATATACAACATAAATGTAAAAATACAGAGAATACACTAACGCTAAATTTAATTTATTAAAAAACTGCACAACAATTAGAAAAATGTGATTTTTTTAATTATATAAATAACATTAATTATGATTTATCCATTGTTTTTAAATTAAACCGGATTGGACACAGTCCGACCAGATAGATCGAGAACCAGTTTATAACCAGTCTAGTTTGCTTGAATAAAATATTTGCTATCGAATTCGTCACCATGATTGATTGGACTGGTAGGATATATACGATTTTTGTGAAATTGATTTTTTTTCATTATAAAACCCAAACCAATTTTAAAACTCATAAAACATAAAATACAAAATTGGGTGCATATATTTGGACGAAAATAACAGTAGAAAACAATTTTAATTGGTCATTTTATTATAACTGTTGGATCCAACAGATAGCCAAATATGAAAATATAAGTAAGTATAGAGCCTAAATATCCAGTCCAGTTCAGATGATATTAAATATACCCAATTCATCTAATTATTGATCAAACGGCTTAAATTTGTTAACATAAATCCAATGGACCAGAACTAACTATCTACTATAAAAGGCAATCCATGTCCGAATTTATAGGGTTTCTGATTTTGTTGACTGCATCTTTACATTTATCTTATCTCTTTTCACTTATCTCCATATCCCTCACGGTTCAGAAATTATGCATTATGAATATTTTAATTTGTTTTTGTGTTTTTTATATAAAATTTGTGTTTTATATTATGATTTTTTATTAAGTTTTTGAAGTTTTAAACACAAAACGCCTCAAATCTAGTTATAGATCTTCATTTTTTATTAGAATACATGATTTTTTTTTTATTATTTTTTTGTACGACAAATAATTTTTTGTGATGTAATGTTGTGAATTTTTATTGATTTTCGAAGATTCATTACAAAAATTAATATTTTCTGTTAGGTTTTTAAATTTAGTGTATATCTGGTAGGATTTAGAATAATCTGTATGAAAGAAAATATGAGGGGCTAGAATTCGGTTCAAAGTGATATATCTGATTTTAATTTGTATTTTAAATTAGAATCCAAATTTGTAGGCTTAATTGATTTTATGAGAAAATTAGATTCCAAATTTGTAGGCTTAATTGATTTTTTGAAAAAAAAAAAAATCGAAAAATAGTTGTACTTTGATATGTGATTGTATTATGGAGGAATAAACTAATTTCTTTATTTTAAGCGATTCCAATTTGTATTTAAATTTGATTCCAAATTTGTAGGATGATTGAATTTTATGTTTAAAAAAAAATAAAAATGTAATCTGATTGTACTGTGATATGGGATGTGATTGTATTATGGAGAAATCAACTAACTCCTTTATTTTAGGGGATATTAGTTTGTATTTGAACTACATTCCAAATATATAGGCTACATAAGTCAAATGTTGTTTCAGTTTTATTTTTATTAAAAAAATAAATAAAAATAGTAAGCAATTAATGTTGTCCTAAAATTATGGTTACTATTTTTGGTAAATGGTAATTCTTTTTATATATATAGATGTGAACGGGAACCGCCCTGAACCGGTTTTTGGCAACCTTTATATATGAAAATAGGAAATGCCCAAGAAACCGAATCCACTACCAGAGCAGCAGATTGCATCCAATTCCGTACAAGAAGATAGCTTGGGGCGGCTTCTTCACAAACTCGACATAGAAAATGCTGAGAAGGGTGCTCCTTCAAGCCTCCACCCGCCGCCACCTGCCTTTTTCATCCCCACTATACCTCGGACCTCGGCAGCGACGCTTTTTCTCTGCTTCCTCGTCTTCCGGATCTCCGAACGAGCATTCTGTCGAACACTTGGAGGACTCACCTCAGTCTCCGCCCTCTGCGTCGATCTCCGTCGACCGCTCCGCCTTATACCATCCACCCGGTAGTTTTTCTTCATCCACAGCTTAATCATTTTTCCTTTTTTTTTTTTTTTTGTGTTGAACGTTAATGTGATTCGAGCTACGCTTTGTCACATATACAGAACATTCTCACGAACCGTCTTCTGAATCTGAGCTTGTCAAGCACCTTAAGAACTTAATCAAGGTGCGATTGTTTTTGTATGCTTATTTATCTCTGCTTTGTATGTAGTTGGTATCATATTGTATTTGCTTTGCTTTTGTTTGACTAACTGGAAGAACTTTTAGTTCCGAGGGGGTCCCATTACAATTGCGGAGTACATGGAGGAAGTGTTAACGAATCCGAAAACAGGTTTCTATATCAATCGGGATGTGTTTGGAGCCGGAGGTGATTTCATTACATCACCGGAAGTGAGCCAGATGTTTGGAGAGGTACTTTCTTGCACTATCCCTCAATATGGAAAAAAGAAAATAAGAAAAAAGACAATGTCTTTTGTCTTTAGTTGATGAAAATTTGAAGCTTTTTTGCTAACTCCTGTGCAAGGCCTTAAGACAAAGAATGTGGCCAGAGCTTATTTTAAGTCTTATAGATGAGTTGCTCATCGGTAACTGATTTTAGTTTTGTATACTCAGTCTGTTGATACATTTTTTATGGTTTAGATGGTGGGTATTTGGGCAATGTGCCTGTGGGAGCAAATGGGACAGCCGGAAAGAGTTAATTTGGTTGAGCTTGGACCAGGCAGAGGAACTCTTTTGGCCGACCTTCTGCGTGTATGACTTCAGTATAAAAGTTTTTAAATTCACACTTAGTGTATCTGTTACTCATCTGTGTCATTCCACAATTCAAAATTTGACAGTTGTAATTCTATCCTGTAGGGTGCTTCAAAGTTCAAGAGTTTCACACAATCTTTGCAAATACACATGGTTGAATGTAGCCCGGTACTGCGGGAACTTCAGTACCAAAACTTGAAGTGCACGACTGAAGATGGCGCGGATGGGAATTCAGAGGGAAGATGTGTTAGCTCTATAGTTGGGGCACCTGTGTCATGGCATGCAGTTCTCGAACAGGTTCCAACAGGATGTAAGGAACATATTTTAGTAAGTTTTATACTTTTTTTAATCTATTTTTATTTTCCTATTTTTGTTTTGTTTCTCTGACGGCCATTTTGCCCGGGTCAGGCTATGGTGATTGGTGAGCTGCCTACTAAGTTGTATTTCCATATGTATGGTGAACTTTTTACTCTAGTCTATTATATATATAGTTGACGACCAGTAACAACCCAGACATTTTTTCTGGTTTAAATTATTGATGCGTGATGTGAGCTATAGCATGTAAAGATATTGCTTCTTGAGTGCAGTAGGTATCAATCATGGAAGGCACCCTACCCTAATATGTAGCTTTTTCCGCATTGTTTTGTGAAACCAGAAGATGTGAATTCTTTGTGAAGTTTTTCTGTTTGTTTGTTTGACCAAACTCTACGTTGTTTCAGTGCCTACAGTAGTCATTGCCCATGAGTTCTACGATGCTTTGCCAGTGCACCAATTTCAGGTTTGTCTAACCATTGGATGGTAGTTATAACTTGGGTTCTGTCTGTGGAGAATTGGTTTGATGTTAATCTAATTGTTACAAAGATGAATGACTATATCTCCTTGGTCTTGGTTAAAGAGCTGAAATTGTTATGATTTATTCTAGAAATATTGTCCCTTGAGGTTGACTTATACTAAGTAGTTGTGTTGTCCGATATTTATAAGTTAGTACCTAAAAGTGGACTTGTTAAGTATGCAAATTTTCTTTGCAGAAAGCTTCTCGTGGGTGGTGTGAGAAGATGATTGATGTTGCTGAGGACTCAACGTAAGCAGTTTGAGTTCTACCTATATCAGTTTTATGAATTTTCGCGAGGATTTTTAATTAAATATAATGTGGGTTTAACTAACATTTTACTTTAAAATTCATTTGGTAGGTTTCGTTTAGTTTTATCTCCGCAGCACACGCCCGCGACTCTTTATCTCATGCAGCGCTGCAAATGGGCTGAGACTGAAGAAATTGCTAGAGTTAATCAGATCGAGGTTTGCCCTAAGGCAATGGATTTAACTCAAGAAATCGCCAATAGAATAGGCACAGATGGTGGTGGGGCTCTCATAATTGATTATGGCCTCAATGGAATAGTATCAGACAGTTTACAGGTCTTTCTGATAATGCTAAAACCAACGCGTTTAACACTTGAAAAGTCTATGAGTTAATCATAAATAGTCTATTATCCTTTTTTTTTTTTGTTATTTAATTTTGACTAGTTGAGTTTAGTAGTCATGGATTCATAAATAGAGGAAGTTAACAATAGATACAAAAAAAAAAAAAAGTACAGAACCCTTTCTCTCTTTAGGAGTATCGATTTCTTTTCAGGCTTAGATATTAAAATTATATGGTTTTACCTGATTATGCGCAACGAATAATTCAGAAAATATAGATCACATTGTCACGTATTTCTCTTCTTTAAGTTGTACAGTCAAGATGAACTACTTATGGAGTAAGTACATGCTCCAGAGACAATTGTTGTTTTTGATGTATATTAGGCTAAAATTTTAGCGTCTATAAATGTATTGTTTCTTTTGTTATCCTCATAACTTTTCTTTTATCATATATTTTTCTGAGTTGTTTCATTTTTGCACCATGTATTGACATAGAGAAAATTTGGCTTCAAACTGTTTTGTTCTGGTTGTACACCAAAAGGATATGCCGCCGGCATGTAATGTATTTGATGCTTTACAAAAGATTAATTCCATTATTTAAGTATATAATATATAAATTTTATTTCCCATTCACCATGGACATACCTTTTGGAGAAGAAGTCTGATTTTAATTCAATGACAGGCAATTCGAAAGCATAAGTTTGTCGACATACTTGATGATCCCGGTTCTGCTGATCTCAGTGCGTATGTTGATTTTGCTGCAATTAGGCATGCTGCTGAAGAAATTTCAGGTTTGCCACAATCCTGTGTGCCTAAATGTTCTATTCGTGAAGTTGTGATGGTAATATATTGAAAAAGGCGAAACAGAACAGCATACAGCTCACACTTTCCTCTTAAGAGACTGATACAAACCAACTCATTCTTGATATGAAGGTATGAACTCTCCCAAGAAATCCTTTATGGTGAAAAGGTTTCTGGGTGAGTATTTGCCCTAACTTCCGATTTTAGTAAAAATCTGAAGTTATAAATATCTTCATATAGAAGCTAAAATCCTGAACCAACTAAGAGAGAGTTTCTGTAAATAAAAGTTCGAAATTAAAGGAACAATCAGATACGTGAGGCACCCTTATCCGATTTTTAGCTTCGCACTTAAACGATACAGTAGAAGTGGAGTTGGAAAACTGTATATATGAACCCTTTATTTCTTATGAGCTACTTTATTGTTGAGTTTGAATCTATCAACCTCCTGTTGTTTTCTGTTTTCTGCAAGCATTTTGTAAAATGGCAATTAATTTTGGTGCAGATGTATCTGTACATGGTCCAATGACCCAATCTCAGTTTCTTGGCTCCCTTGGAATCAACTTCCGGGTTGAAGCACTTTTACAAAATTGTACTGAAGAACAGGCTGAGTGTTTAAAAACGGGATACTGGCGTCTGGTGGGTGACGGGGAAGCCCCGTTTTGGGAGGGTCCCGATGATCAGTCTCCAATTGGGATGGGCAACAGATACTTGGCCATGACCATCGTGAACAAGAACCAAGGTGTTCCAGTCCCTTTTCAGTAGAGTAGTGAATTTTTCGTATCTGTTTAAAAAAGTTGGTACCAGGTTTGCCTTGATTATGATAAATCACCTGTGGTTCGTATTTGTTTCTTGGTTATTGTTGGGGACCTTTTTTTTTTTTTTTTTTTTTTTTTTTTTTTTTGTGTGTGTGTGTGTGTATGTGCGAAAAATGTCGGATATGGTATGGTTTTACAAAGAAGATAAACAAAAATGTAAAAACAAGTCAATGCTAGTGTTACATTCTAGAGTTAAGTTATTTTCTTTCCCAACTATTTGTTACACTAGCAACGCCGGTCAATTACACGGGTGTTTGATGAAAAAAATTAATTGTGCAACGAAGAATAAAAAATAAATAAAATTTTTATTGTGAAATAAAATAAATTTAAAGAATTAATAATAGAATAAAATAATTTGGAATACTTTGTGATGGGTCTCCTCTCAGATCTGGAGCGAATCAATGGAAACAAGATCAGATCTGAAACGAACCGATGGGAATGAGCTCAGATCTGCCTCGATCGCCTTCAAACCGTCGCTGAATCGCGAGAACACCTACAAGAACTCAACGCCGGAGGGATTTCCGGCGTAGAGCCTCCAACGCTCAAGTCAGTATGTGAAAGAGATGAAGAGAGCTGCTCTGAGAGAGCAGTAGCAGTAATGGAGGAACGTATAGAATGAATGGGAGTTAGGGTTTTGGGGTTACCTCAGTTCCTTTATATAGGAGCAAAACATTTACCTGAAGTTCTCAAGATGCCCCAGCCGACTTACTGGAAATGTCCAAAATACCCTGGTCGGTTCGCATTCTGTCCACTTCCTAGTCAGCATCTAGATTCCTTCTTATCCTTAATAGCTTCCTTCTTATCCTTGATAGCTTCCCCATGATATGTTGAAGTATACCGGAATTGTCGGAGATCTATGAGCCTCGAGACGCCCTAAGTCGACTCGGGATATCAACTCGAGTCGATTGGGCCATCGATATGTTTGAAGTATACAGGAGTCGTCGGGGATCTATAAGCCTCGAGACGTCCTCAGTCGACTCGGGATATCGACTCGAGTCGACTGCACCATCTTCAACTGTCAGTAGACCCTGACAGACCGGAGATATTACAAGTCCGTGGGAAGAGTCGACTTCGGGTAAGTCGACTAGATAATATCTGAACCATTATACGACAGTATGGCTATATCATCTAGTCCCCCCCAAAATTACACGAGGCGATTCTGAGCTTAAGAGTAAGATTTGACGATTGAGTATCCTGCTTGGATCTTTTCACTTATCTTTGTTGCTTGTCGTTGTCCTAAGTCGTGTCCATCTGTTGTTTCGACTCGTAAACGGCTCGTCTGCCTTAGCATTGATTGGATAAGTTTGAATCTTCTTTTCAAATTTCAAAATTCAAAAGAGGTCTTGAAAACTGATAAGACGCTTGCTCTCTCCACCGCTTCGTATTCCGTGTACCATCCCAACCGTTGGATTTAACTTTAATCTGAGGGCTAGGGTTTCTCTGCCCTCCCTATAAATACTCTTCTCCTTTCCTTGTCTTCACTTTTCGCACTCAGACTTTTCGAACTCTCTGCTTCTCCGGCAAATAAAGCATCACAAGCTCTCCAGCGCTCACTTCATTTTCTGACATTCTTCTCGGATTTTCCAGGACTTCTTTGTCAATCGTCATGTGTAAGTTCTCTTTGCTTTTTGATTTATTGCTATGTGCGATTTTTTCTTTTTTTTGCTTTTCTGGGTAATATGCTTGGGATTTGCATGTTCGTCGAATTTTCTGGGGATTTTTAGATGAGTTTCTGGCGGTTTTTCCTTGTTAGATCTTTAATTATAGGTTTTTCATCTCCCCAAGTGTTTTCATTCGTCAGTCGTTTTGTTATGAAAATTTGACTCTTCTGCTCTCTTATGGATTAACTAGCCATCGATTTGGCATTCATATGTCAAGTCGAGTCGAAGCAGGAAGTTGTCGAGTCGCTTCACGCGCTTTCCTGGTTCTTTCGTTGACCCCTATCCTTAAAAGTCGACTCGCGGTCGTAATTATCCACATCTATTGATTGCCGCTCTCTTTTCTTTTTAGATTCTAACTCCGACCCTGTTTCTGGATCTCTTGCCCGCGAAATTGACAACTACTCGAGTTCTGATTCTGTACAAATAATCTCTGTCGGACCGAGTGCCGGCCTAAATGTCGAGCCCGAGGACTCTGTTCATTCCACCGTCTCGTCTTTTGGAGTCGACAGGGATGTGTACAATCAAGCACTGCTATCCGGCACTCTGTTTGAGGACCCTGAGACCTCTCGTCCCTCGGGATCTCCTCGACTTAATCTAATCCCTCGAGGTATCCCTCTTAGGCTACTAGATATCCCTGTGTATAGAACAAGTCCTGTACATTCATTAATAATATCTCCTTCAGTCGAGCCTGTAACTTTAGCCTGTCCTGTAGCGAAATTAGCTGTTCTTAATCCCTTTTGTCATGCCCCTGCAGCCGAAATCGAGGGTTTTAGAGAATACAGCGGTCTTCCCTCCGACTGGGCGTTGCTTGCCCCTACGCCTTCTGACGACTTCAAGCATCCTCCTCGTGGTTGCTTTACTTTCTTTGTTGATCAAATAATGTCGGGATTACACTTCTCGATTCAACACGAGCTGCTGTCATTGAGCAACTTGTATGATGTGCCAATAAACCAATTCACCCCCAATTCCATCCGAATAATGGTGGCCTTCATAGTCGTCACCCGTATAGTGTTAGGTAGTTTTGTACCCGTTTTTTTTCCTTTACTGCTATGGCTATAGATTTAGCAAAGATGCTCATTGCCTGGGTCGTCGTGTGGGGGTATCCTTCCTTGGCGATCTCCCTTCTAACATCACCGAATGGAAGAAGAAGTACTTCTTCATTCGACCTGCTCCCGGCCAATACCCTTTCTCGAATGAGTGGATTACCAGTAAGACAAAACAACGTAAGCGTCCCAACTCTTCGCAGTTCGCGAGTATGCTGGAGGAACTTAATAAGCACGTTTCGAGTGCTCGTCGACTGACTAAAGATATCTCCCTTCTTAATCATGTTTGGATTTGTGTCGACAAGAGCGCCCCCCCGAATTAAGGATCCTTGTAAGCTCTTTATTATTTTAGTTTTTATTATTTTTTTCGACTTCCTATCACCTGTCTGGATGTCTTTTTTCTCCCCTTTGATGCGTATGTACGAGTGCTCCTTTATTAATCGTTGTTTTCTTTTATGTCGACAATGAAAGCTCTAAAGCGTTTCGAGAAGAAGAAGGCCGAAGCGGCCGCTAAGTCTGCTGCTCCCCCTGCCTCTTCCCAGAAGCCTGAAGAAGGCTCAGGCTCTGGTGCTCAAACTGCGGCAGTCGAAACGACTGCCGCCAAAAAATCCAAAGTTGTGCTTCTCTCGGCTTCTAAGCCGATTCAACCGTCTGGTTCCCGCAAAAGGCTCCAGGATCAGAGGGACATGACTCTGGTGCCCGACTCCTTGAAATGCCAAAAGGGGAAGGCGGTGGTTGAGGAAGATGCGGGGGAGTCGTCCCCTGTGAGGGTGCAGCCCGTTACTTTGCAACAGCCTTCCCGGCTTTATGACAATACTGACCCGGTGCAGATTCTTAACTATCTGCATTCGACTCTTCCCGAGGCCGACAAGGTGCGGACCGATGGTAACCCTTATCATCGGGCCTGCTATGCTGCTCGGCTCATTCCTCGGGTAAGCTATACTCTCATGTTCTCTGTCCCAATTCTGCCTATCTTATTATTTCATTCATCATTCACCGTTTCTCTTTTTTTTTTTTTTTTTTTTTTTTTTTTTTTTTTTTTATGTTCAGCTTCTCGCCTGCATCCTCCCGTCCATGATCGAGGAGGCGTCTTCCCCCCAAACCAACGTCAAAGTTTTGGGGGAACAGTACGCGGCTAAGTGCGAGGAGCTCGAGGCCAAAGAAGAGGAACTCGAAGCCGCCAACGCCGTCATTGCCAAGCTTCGATCCGACAAGGAGACGGTTGTTCGGAAAACTTAGAGGTTTAGAGTCGACCTGGCTAAGGCCACCGACGAGGCTATGGTCGAGAGGGAAAATGGGCTCCAAGAAGGTCGTAGAACCTTCTTGAAGTATACGATGGGTTCAGTCTTTCTCGAACACTACCGCAAGGCAGTGGTCGAGGCGTTCTGTAACTCGTCTGATTTTCTCGACGAGCTAGTTCCCACGGCGGTCCAATATTTTGACTTTGCCTGCGACACGTGGGAACAAGCCGTGGTTCAACCCGACTTTCTCAGGAAAATCGACCGGAATGCAGTGAAGGAGACTCTTCCTGACCCTGTCGGTTTTCAGGGCGGAGAGGACCTGCCTGGCCGCAAATGGTGGACTGGCCTCGAGGCCAAGGCTATTCATGCTGCCAAACTCTCATCCCAGCTCGAGGTTCCTCCATCTCCCTTAGCCCGTCCGGTTGAACTAGTCGAGCCTAGTGGGGCTAATTACGAAGAAATGGTCGACGAAGAGATAGAGGTCGAGCGACCGGGCACGGAGTCGATCAGGGAGGGGGACGCCGGGACCGATCCTATCGTCGATGCAGGTGTTGAGGCTGCTAAAAAATCAACTGCCGACTTCCAGAAGGCTTAGATTTTCTGTTTTAGTCGAAGTAATTGTATTTGTTGTTGTTCTTTTTTGCTTCTTGCCATCTCAACCTATTTTCCGATGTAAAGGTTGAGATGGTTTCGGATGTAACAAGTTTCTTATTAATATAATGGTTATCATTTCTGTTCTTTTCTTGCTTTTCGCTTCTATATTTTGTCGACTCTTCGTGTTTATGCTTGTGATTCTTCTTTCAATTGCTTAGTTCCTTATCTCGTCTTACTATGTCTTCTCCAACCCTTCTTGCGAGCTGGTCGAAATCAAGCAATAGTTTCGACAGCTTCATGGCTGTTGAACTAAGTTTTTCGAGTCGTCTTCTCCCAACCCTTCTTGCGAGCTGGTCGAGGTCGAGCAATAGTTTCGACAGCTTCATGGTTGTTGAACTAAGTTTTTCG